ATATATTTATATATATATGTATGTATGTATATGTGTGTGTTGGGGATGGCATCGCTGTCCCGGCACCACARGTGCGGGGGCTGCAGTCGTTACCCTGCGTCTGTCAGCAAGGAGGGCAGTCAGCGAGGGCCCGGACCCGCCGGCCCGGCCTTTAACGAACCGGCCCAGAATTAARGAATGAGGGGGAAAAAACCCTAAAAATCACAACCCCGTTTCTGTGCGCACCTGCTGACAGCTGAGAGGACCTCTGCAGGTCACARGATTAAGATTTAGGATTTAGTTTTAGGGTTTAGTTTTAGCTCCTGCCCCGTGCTCTTCSGTGCTGTGTTTCTACACGCTGTTCTTAGCAGGGTTATGTGGTTTGGAGGTAAAAAAAGTGACTTTTAGCAAGTATCACCCGCAATAGCATCACAGCAACCTCAAGCTGAGTTACTCAGGGAAGATCACTGTTTTTTGCTCAATTTATACACATACATTTTTAAAACATCATGGTTACAATTTCCTGCTGAGAGCAGCAGTACGAAGTTGAATCAAAGCTTTGGTTGATCCTGGGTCTGCCTTTCCCACCCTGTCGGTTCTTTTTCAGTTTAAGACGTTTCCCTGTTACCACAGAARGAGCCAACAGCGACTCTCAGGTGAAAGGTGCGTTTAAGATGTCAGGATTTCAACATCATCTTCAAGGGGTAAGAAATGGGTTTTTGCTTCTGTAAWTTTTCCCTCTCCTCTCCCTAAAGCTTCCTGGTGCCCACTGGTGCAAGTGTGTCTGGCCCGTGGCTTTCACACCAAGCACTAATATGCAATAATTCTGTTCACTTAACTTACAGGCATCCACTTTAGAAATCTGGAAATCTTATTTTCCACGTTTAAGTGAAGCCTGGACAAAGCTTGCATCAGTAACACATCTAAGAAGACAAGTGAAATGTATTCTAGATTAATTGGGGCGAAGCAGGTGCCAGGTAAGTTATCACAGAGTCACAGAATATTCAAGGTTGGAAGGGACCTCTAGAGATCATCTAGTCCAACCTTCCCGCTCTAGCAGGGACACCCAGAGCACGGGGCACAGGGCGGCATCCAGGCGGGTTTGGAAGACCTCCAGAGAAGGAGACTCCACAACCTCCCTGGGCAGCCTGTTCCACTGCTCTGTCACCATAACTGTAAAGAAGTTGCTCCTCACCTGGAGACGGAACTTCCTGTGTTTCAGCTTATGACCATTTCCCCTTGTCCTATCGCTGGCCACCAGTGAAAACAGCCTGTCCCCTTCCTCCCTGCATTCTCCCTTCCTGAACTTATACTAATCATATTCCCTCTCAGCCTTCTCCAGAGAAAACAGGCCCAGCTCAGTCTCTC